AGAGACTGTGCAGATGGTACAAGATAAAACAGGGTTCAGATGTGTTGTTCATCGGGTCACTATGTCATATTCAACTTGATGGCACCTAATAACAACAACACATTACCAAGGTGGAGATCCCTTCCTGAAACCCATCTTGACCTCTCTAGATTCAGGATGGCTGCAAGGTTTTCGCTTCTGCCACCATCTCTGCCCAGCTCCAACCTCAGTGATAGCTTTTACCAAGTTTATGCCACTGAAAAAAACTTAATCATCCAGTAACACTGTTCCCTTCCCTCTAGACTCTTCTCTCAGTGAATCTGAAAATTGTTACTCTGAAAGTTAGATGTCCTGAGGACTGAGTGGTCTAGATTTGGGGCATTAAGCTCTCTGGGTGTTGGGCACTAGGGTTCTGGGTACCGAGAACCTCAGAGCTGTTGGAAGCACTCTCATTCTTAATGGGAAGGATTCTGGATTTTGAGGACTCTAGGTACTGCCCACCACCTAGCTGTCAATTTGTCATACTGTGGTCACTGTGTGGCTCTTATGCTGCAAGCTGTATCACTGGATTTCAAATACCAACAAGGTCAGCCACTGGGGACAGGTTTCGGTGGAGCTTCCATACTAAGATAGACTAGAAGGGCAGGTTTGGAGATCTACTTCTGAAAATTAGCCAATGAAAACCCTGCAGATCACATCAGAATATCACATGAAAACAATGTAGTGCTGGAAGATAAACCTCCGAGGTTGGAAGGTACTCAAAATACACAGTCGTCACACAATGATGTGAGGATAGGAAGAATTTTAAAGACCTGTAAATGTTCCCTGGTAGTAGATCAGGGGACATTTTGTTCTTTTATGTACGGGGTCACCATGAGTTGGAGCCAACTTGAAGGCAACTAACAAAAGTATCAGACATTGGGCTGCCCCAAGACAGAGCCACAATCTGCTTCTGGTTTATATGCCTTATTTTACCAGGAGCCACTGAGGTTGAGCTTGAGAGCCCTGCTCTGAGTCCTAATGGGCAGGGCAGAGAAAGTACAGCCTAAAAGGCACATAGAACCACCAAGATGATCCTTGGATCTAGAACCAATTAACAGATTCCCCTGCAATGACACTGGGCAGGAAAGGTGCTCAGAACTAACTTCAGGTTCAAGAGACAACCTGAGGGCAGAGCCCAGGAAGGCCACTCACAGCATGCTTCTGGCTGGGAGGCTGGGGCTGTGAGGATGTGGAGGCTGGCTTACCAGGCCAGGCACCAACTCAAAGCAATGTTCACCTTCCCCCAGCCTCTCAGCAGGGCCCCCCAGTATGCCCAGTGCTACCAGCTCCAACAATGCCTTCCAGAAGTGGCCCAAGTCTGGCTTAATTCCTCTTAAAAAACCAGACACACACCTAAGCTGCTCTGTATGTCCCAACCCAGAGGCCTTGATCCTGCTGACTGATGACAGCAAATGAGGAATGGAGCCAGCACAGGGGATCTGAAGCTGGGCACAGCCCTCCCAGGAAACAGCACTGTAACTGGAGGCTCCTGGAGACAGACGTGCCTTAGCCCGCAGCGGGGTGGGGCCCGGTGGTGGCCAGCCCTCTTGCTGCCCTGCCCCAGGAAGAAGCCAGCCAGACGGCCAGCCTGGATGTCTGACCCCAGGAGTCCGTGCTTCTGTCCTCACCTACTCAGATCCGATTATCCAGCTCTCTCCACAGTGGTATAGGCTGGCCATGCCTTTCTCACACTGTAAACTAGCTGTCAGGGGCCAGGAGCTAACAGCCAACAATGAAGGCCATTTCAGTTCTGACCTGGGCTAAGCCCAAACCTGCCTCCCTTGAGGCCTAGTTCTGGTTAGAAAAAAAACACCTGCTCTAGTCCCCGTCTTGTGGAGACTGCCTTTCTGCTACAGTCATTTTTGCAAGTTTCTCCTCAGGACTCAATTCACTGTACAGTTGCCTGAAGTCCTCTCTGGGTCAAAGTTCATAAAATGCATATTTATAAATCTGTCTCAACATAGAAAAATATACTTTGTGCTGTGTCATCTGTTTGTCTAGTAAAATTTTTATGATAAACATCTCCAGCCTCCTGAGGTACCCAAGAAAAACCTTCCTCTTCAGTTCCTGGGCTAAAGTGTCCACTAATCCCAAACTCATAGGGGTCTTTGAGATGAGATCTTCTCTGAGGGCTGAACCCTGAGCTCCCCTTACATTCTCTGGACCTGACTCCAAGCATCCTATACCTTTGCATAGATTCCTCAAGGTGAGGTAGAAAAGCCTACTTTCCTGGCCCGTGACCATTCTCAGAGCACTGACAGACACTCTCAGCACCCCATAGTAGACTCACTTCACCCCTAGTTTCTTCAAAAGGAGTCAGGAGAAGGGCTTTGTCCACCCTCTCAAGTACTTAAAGCCCCACTCCTACTTCGTGGGGCCCTTTACCAAAAGTCTCTACCTTGCCTGAGTGGTGACTCTTTCTTATAAGTGACTCTTTTCCCTTCGTTCCAGGGAAGAATGCAGGAGAATGAAGCCAGGAACAGGGAGTTATATGCAGGTGGAAGAGACAAGAACTTGGGTCAGCCCTGCCCAGTCCTGGAAGTTAGGCTTACACCTAACACACATAGCTATGCAGTGCATACAGTCACTCTTCCACAAGAATACTCTCACTCAGATCCACCCATACAAATGCACAGGTCAGGGAAGCAGAGACACAACAGACTGCTCAGAGCATGTGAGCGTGAGTACATGAGTACACACGCTTCTAGGACTGGTTTATAAGAGAACCTGCTAGGTTTGGGGACATAAACGAAAATACCCTTGCTGATGAAACCAAAGTGTCTTCCTAATTCTGATCAAATCTCTAGCGTGAACAGGCTTGAAGTTCTGAGATGGTATGTACCTGGCCTGGATAATATATGGCCAACGAGTATCCCAACTGGCAGCAAGTGATACCTGTTATCTTGTCCAGTCTTCCTGACTGTAAATTAGTAAAGAGAAATCTCATGCATCCCTTGGTCTCCTCTGAGTTTGGCATGTGTACATCAGTGTCATGGAGGCTGACTGCCCCTAGGGGACTAATGAAACCAGTTTCCAGGCTGGGCAATGTGAGCAGCAGACTCAGGGTGCAAAGGTGGCTTGCACAGGTAAGTGTATGTGGAAGCTCCATTCCACCAAATCCTAGGTCCTGCTGGCTGAGGGAAGCCAAATATCAAATTTAATAATAGTAGACCAAATGCTGTATCGGGAAATGAGGGAGGCTTAATACAAGCTGAAGCTCACCTTGTGACACTGGGGCATTCCTTAGGAGTCAACATTGTTCTTAGTTTGTATCAAATGAATCCCTCACTCTTGAGATTAACATAAAGAGGAACTTGGCCTTATCTGTAAAAGATTTCACCATTATCCTTTGTTTTGTACTTCCTTGTGATTCTAAATAAATACTCAGAGAAGCATGGCTTGAGGTCTTCAGTCGAGAACTGCTGACCCCCTGTTTTACGCTCTCTGCTCTATCTCATTCCTGGCTGTTTATCTCTTTATTAATAATTATAAAATTATTCTATTCTTTGGGACCCTCGGTCTGCAACAGCTGGCCAGCAGCCAGCCACATAGAGCAAGGTGTTTTATCTACCAGTCCATGAGTTACCTGAGCTCACCCTTACCATTTTGCAGAGGAGGAAGCTGAGCTTCCTCTGGTTGGAACCAAAGTGAGGCTGGAACCGAGATCTGTCTCCCCTAGGAGGGAAGAGGAGCTCCAGGTTGGTTTCTGCAGATCTTGTAACACAGTCAGAATGGGGCTGGCCAGGCCAGCGGTCAAGGAATGGCAACAGGAGGGTTACCCTCTGGTCTTGGAGTTTCAAGGAGTAGGACCCAGGATTTAACCAGCTGTGCCCACATTCCCTAGCGGCGCTGCTCCAAAGGGAATGGAATTTGCTCTGAGTTCTCTCTAAGGGGAACGCAGGCGCAGAAGGCTGGGGGCCTGTCGAGCTAACTCTAGCCCCAGCCCCTCAAGTGCCCCAAGCCTCTTGGCCTCAGTCCAGCCTTGCTTGAGGGGGACGACATCTGCTTCCTCCAAGGGCCCCAGATGGAGGACAGAGAAGCAGGTCCAAGAGGGAGCCTCCTTTGTAGAGCCCACTCTCAGGGGTTCGTGGGGATCAATCATCCGAAAGCTGGAGCGACTTGTAATTTTATTCCCTAGGAGGAGGAGCCTGAGAAGTCAGCCAGGGGGGTGGGGATGGGATGGGCTGGGGGGTGGAGGGGGAGAAGGCGGCCCGGGAGCTGTTCAGTGAGAGGAGGGACTTGGCTAGGTCTCTCAAGCCTTCTCCACTCTCCAAACTTTCACCAAACTCTTGGCCCCCGCCTCCCTGAAACCAAAACACAACAAGCTCTGGAGGAGCCACGAGCAGCGCGGCGGGGCGGGCAGATTCGCAGCGGCACTGAGCTTCGCGAGGCTGATGCAACTTTCCCTTTAAGAAAACCACCTGGGAGCACTGCGGTGCGGACCCAGCACGCCTGGGCAGGGGGCTGCAGCATGGTAAGAGCGCTAAGGGAAGGCGGCGCTGCGATCTGTGCCTCTGCCTTTCTTGCCATCAGCCTAGCTGCTTGGTGACTCGGTGGGGCTTAGCCCCAGACCAGGGCATGTGTATGTGTATGTGTATGTGTATGTGTATGTGTATGTGTATGTGTATGTGTATGTGTGTGTGTGCCCGTGTGTATGCGAGCGCGCATGCATGCAGGCATCTGTGGGCAAGAGTGTGGGTGCACGCACGGGGATGTCTGTCTCGCCGCAAAGGCCGGGGTAGGTGCGCGCGTCTGGGTGTCTCCGCTGTCACCAAGGAGCTGAAGCAGCGGCTGGGAACGCAGTGGGGTGGGTTTGTTGGGGGGTGGGGGTGCTGCGTGGCGACGCCAGCTCGGACGGGGGCGGACGGCGCGGGGCTGTCGGTAGCGCCGGGACCGGAGCCTTTGGCGGTCCGTCTGGGGTGCCCGTGGGTCTCCGTACCGGTGTGAGTGGCTGGAAACCTGTCTGCGCCCCGTGAGCGGGCCCTTATTCCATCTTTTTGCACCCTCGCCAGCTTGGCTCCCTATCTGGCCCCTCCAGCCGGCTTGCCTCCCTATCTGTCCGCCCACCCACCGGCCCGGTGCGGGTTCCCGCGCGCCCGCCGGTCCAGGGAGAAGCCGCGCGGGGGAGTTTCAGCGCCTTAGAAGCTCTTTGTCCGTGATTCCCAGGATCAGGGCTTTTGGGGAAGGGATCACTGCCTGGGAGTTCTTTGAGGACTGCTATCCTGGAAGGGCCCCGTGCTCTCCACGCCCCAGTCCTCATTCCGGGCGCGCGTGGGGCGGGCCCAGGCTGCCGCAGGTGAGGGCAGGGGCCTAGCAGCTCCAGGGCGCTCACTTTCCACCGGCGCCTCACGCCCAGCAGCCCCAGCCCGGCTGGGGAAGGCGGCGGGGTCGCGCCCGGACGCTAGGGGGGTTTGCCGCTAGGGTCGGGAGGCGCCGGAGCCGGCCCAGGGGGCGGGGCAAGGGGGCGGGGACCTCGGCACCCCGGTACTTTTCCATGGCTAGGGGCTGGGGGCGGGGCTGTCGCCTTCTCTCCAGCTGAGAGGCCCACACGTGGCGGCTGATGTAACCCCCCTACGCTTCGCACCGATAAAGCTGACGCGCCCTGCTTCGAGGAATCAGGCCTCTCCGGGCGGCGCCGCAACTCCAAAAGGACCGCACCCCTGTCCACCGACCCAGGGCCTCCACTGTCGGCCCGCTGGCCGCTTCTTAAAGGAGCCGCGCCCACTTCCGGGCCTGCTCTTCATAGGCCACACCCCTTCACTAATCATTCTTAAAGGAGACGTGTCCCGGTTGTCTTGACAGCTCTGGTCCAAAACTCGAGGTCAATTCTTTACTGAAATAAGACTGAGGGTGCGTCTGCTAGGTGATAAAGACTAGAGCATGAGAAATGGGGAAGGAGGAAAAGACTAAGAGGTTAAAAAAAAACCCAACAGGAGGGGGGCATCAGAAATGTAGAAAGTATAGGGAAGGGACTGATCTGGGAAAGGACCAATGGGCGACACTGAGCATGCCCAAGTGTTTCCAGGGAACGCAGAGAAAATGCCCCCTTATACAGGCCTACACGGCAGCATTTGCAGTGATACCAGCTTAGTGGCCAGCCTTAAGGACACTGAACAATCCTACCTCTGCCCTAGAAAATCTCCCCAGCTGGTAGGGAATTGAATCTTGTACACAAACTAGTAATGTCACAACATTTCATGTGGCGAGTGTGCTAATCAGATATACATATGTTTTAGGGTCAGGATAGAAAGGCTGGCTGCATCCAGAGGGACTGGAGAAGGCTTCATAAAGAGAATAGCTCTGGGCTAGGTTTTGGAGATGAGTGGGCTGTGTAAGTAGAGAAGGGGACAAAGGTGCTCAAAAGAGAGAAGTGCCTGAACAAGAACTCTGAGGCAAGAACCCTCTGAGTACCACGTGGCAGCTGGCAGCTCACCTGGGTTCTCTCCTGCAGTTGCTGCCCCACTGCTCTCCATCACAGTAAGAGATTAAGCTTCCTTTTTTACATTCCTGTTCAACTGTGAGGTTCTTGCATAGAGGCTTTCAGCCACCTCTCCATCATCCCCACTAAAGACTCTGGGACGTGGCCCTGACGAACCATTTAAGTTCTATTTGACAGAGAATAAAGATGGAATGACACTCTAAACATTTGCCCTTAGACTGGCATCAGCTTCCTCCATTGCATTGTTTGTTGTTGTTGTTATGTGTCAGCAAGTCCTGTACTGCTCATAGCGAGCCTGTGAACAATGGATCTGAGCCCTGCCCTATCATATATCCTTCCTGTTCCCTCTTCCTCACTCCACCAATCTCAATTCATCAAATCCTAGCAATTATACTGTCTGTATTTTCTCAAATCTGTACACTTCTCCCCACCCTCTTATCACCATCCAAGCCTCCTCTTCTCCTCCATTCTCATCTCCCTGCATCACTTTCTCCACATGGCATCTGGAGTTATATATTCAAAATGCACATCTGGACAGTTGCTCCTCAGCTTAAAACCCTTCAATAACTGTCAAGTATCCCTAGGATAAAAACTAAAATCAGGCCCAAAGACCTAGCCCTTGCCCACCTTCTCTACTTTCCTCTCTGGCCACTTTCTCTCTGGCTCTCTGAGCCTCATCCTCGGGGTCTTTAATTGCTCCATTTGTTTGAAGAGCTTTTCTTCTTCCCCTTCCTTACTATTCCCACTTTGTCTAATTAACTTATCCTGACCCTTTAAGAGAGGTAATGCAGTGTGCATCATATTATGATGCTCACCAAAAGGTCAGCAGTTCGAACTCACTAGCTGCTCTTCGATGTGTAGTCTCCTTCCATGAAGATTTACAGCTTCAGAAACCCAGCAATGCAATGTTGCTCTTAGCTAGAATCAACTCAATAGTGGTTTTAGGTCATGGTACTCTAGAGACTAAAGTGTGCTTGATCCAGGCCATGAGCTTCTCTATTGATTGCTATGCTGTCTGAGAGCTGGACATTGAGTAAAGATGACAGAAAAAGAATCAATCAATGCCTGAGATGTGGTACTGGAGAAGAGTATTCAACATACCATGAACTACCAAGAGAACAATCAGATCTGTCCTAGAAAGGGTGAAACCAGGTTGCTCCTTGGAGGCAAAGATTTTGAAACTCCATCTCACATACTTTGGGCATGTTTGGTCCTTGGAGAAGGAATTATGCTTGGAAAGGTGGAAAGAAGATACAGGAGAGGAAGACCCTGAATGAGGTGGATTGACACAGTGACTAGAGCAATGGGGGCAGGTATGTTAGAGACATTGAAATTGGATCAAGATAGGGCAGCATTCAAAGATATTGTTTATAGAGTTGCTATAAGTCATAGTCTACTTGATGGCACATAATGACAACTCTTCAGTGGAGCCATGGGTAATGCAATGGCTAACACCCTGGGTGGTTAACCACAAGGTTGGAGGTTTGAGTCTACCCTTGGATGAAAAGCCTTGGTGGGAAGGCCTGGTGTCTGTAAGTCCTGTGGTGTCTGTGGTGGTGGTTGTTGTGTGCCATTGAGTTGAAGCTGACATATAGGTGAGCCTCCAGTAGGTTTCAGAGGTAGTATATTGCACAGGAGGAGAATGCCCATCCTGATGCAGCTGATGTCTATAGACATGTAAACAATCAGCCATTGAAAACCCCATATAGTGGTTTTGTTCTGACAGATACAAGATCACCATGAATGTTGGTTATTGAACGTTTAAACATCACTTCCTCAAGGAAGCCCTCCCTGACTCCCAGACAGGGACCTCTGCTGTAGACTTTCTTAAAAAGAATCTTTTTCTTTTACACCCATTTTTTAAAAAATCTGTAAATTACAGTCATCCCTTTCCTTCTTCCTAGCTTGTATAATTCAGGAAGCCAGAGACCTTTGAGTTCTTGGTGCCCAGCACAGGTCTGACCCAGAAGAAGTTTGCAATAAATTCTTGTAGAATAAATGAATGGGGTTGTGGTCAAACATAAATCTCTGCTAAGCAATTTAGGCCATATCCTGTTGGCAGAGGAAGAACAATTGGAAGGAATCAGGCTTTAGGGTTCTGAGAAGAATAATTGATAGAGATGTTATGTGCTGTAGAGACAGAATGGACTCAGAGCTGACCTCCAGCTCATTTTCAGAAGTTGTAAATCCCACAGGAGGAGATAGTCTTTCTTCTGAGGAGTAGCTGGTGAATTCAAACAGCTTGCTTTTGGATTGTCGGCACAAGTTACCACTAGGTCACCAGAGCACCGTAATTGATCAAGAGAAGAGGCAAACATTTGTAGAGATAAGAATTAGCCCTCAAACTTCCAGGACTTCCCAGAATTATTAGCTCACATGGAGAAAACGAAAGCTCAGAGAGGTTAACGAGCTTACTTGAAGTCACATGCCTTGTGAGTGGACAAATAGGTCTTAGAAAAGGTGTGGCCAGTGTACACGCTCCTTGGAGGCAAAGATGATGAAACTTGATCTCATCTGCTTTGGGTATGTTGTTAGGAGAGGCCAGTCATTGGAAAAGGACATCATGCTTGGAAAGGTGGAAGGTCAGCAAGAGAGAGGAAGACCCTCAATGGAATGACACAGAGACTGTAACGGTGGGCTTGAGTATGTCAGAGATGGTCAGGATGGCACAGGTCGTTATGAGTCATCGACTCCACGGCACTTACCAGTAGCAACAACCTTGTGAGAGCTAAAATTCTGGCCCACGCCTACTAGATTCAGGCCCTGCATTCCTCATTACTGCACTCACCTGACTCTGACCAGTGACTTGCCAGTGGCGACCTGTCCAGGCAGGGGCTCTGCTAAACACTGACATATGTTCCTTGAGTGCATAAAACAAAACCCACTGCCATTTAGTAAATTCTGACTCACAGTGACCCGATGGGACAAAGAGTCCTTCCAAAGGGTTTCCTTGGCTACAAATTTATGGAAGCAAACTTGCCATATCTTTCTCCTACACAGTGACTGGTGACTGAGTATCTTCAAAATATTTCAAGAAAGTTTGAACTGCCAACTTTTTCAATTAGCAGCAGGACCCTTGACCACAGAAGGTGCTATTTAACAGATACGGCAAAGGCAGAAGAAGGAGTAAAGCATTCCACCCAGCTTATTCTCCCGGAAATAGCCACTAGACAGTCTTTTCCTTGCCACACTCCCTAAGCGCAAGGATTATATAGACAAGAAATCCTCAGGGCCTGGCCCAGGAAAGACTCTTAATCTCATGGGTGCAAGTGGGTCCCCTCAACCAATCAGACAACAGATCTGGAAGGTGAAGCCATCTGGGAATGAGGAAGGAGCACTGGATCTGAAGTTGGAAAAACTGATTCAAATCATAGTTGAGGCACTTCCCAGTAAGACATCCAGCCTCTCTGAGCCCACCTGTCTAATTGTAAGCTGCTCTTGTCTGACTAGCCTGGAACAATGTGAAGCACAATAGGGTAGCCTGTGTGGGAGCACACTATAGCCCAGGTTCCAGGACAGAGTGGACTCCTTAAACTCATCTGACCAGAGGCCATAGTAATTCCCCACCCTATCATGGTGGCTCTCAGTATTGGCCTCTGCTACAACTACAGACAGTCCGCAGATTATGAACAAGGTCCATTCTCAAAACTATCTTTAAATCAGATTTGTTCATAAATTGAAACAGATCAACAAAACAACTCATTGGCATCAAGTTGCAACCAATTCATAGCTGACCCTCCAATAGGTTTTCTGAGGAGATTGCTCATCTTTCCCCTGCAGAACAGCTGGTGGATTCAAACTGCCTGCCTTTGGTTCGGCAGTGTAATTCCTTAACCACTCGGCCACCAGAGCTCCCTTTGAAACAGGTATGAGGTTCATATCTAAAGCCGGATAAGCAAATGCTTGTATTGTAGTTGTGGACCATGGAGTCAGAACGACCCATAAGTGACCCTCTAGCGAGTTTTCATAGGCAGTTAATAATACTATAAGTTTAATATATAGCTTATAGTGTACCTTTCTCTGCATAAAAACAATATTACAGATAACCTGAGACACTAAAGCATCTTTAACATAATAATACTGTAATAAAAATAGTGTTTTGATGTACTTTACAAAGCAATAGCTATTTGTTATGAGCCAATATATGGACCTCAAGTCTTTACTATAATAGATTTTACAGGGCTGGTTTGTAACAACAATAACTGGGAGACTCCCTGCATCATCATTACTGTTGTTCAATGTTTGATGAGACACAAATCCCAAGTTCACAGCTTTGAGTTGGAGGACAGAAGTGTGACCTGTCAGCAGGTTTTCGGAGGCTGTAAGTTGCAGAGGAGGAGATTGCCCTTCTTTCTACCAAGGAACTGCTGGTGGATTCAAACTGCTAAAGAGGCACAGCCTTTTAGCCTATTAGCAGTGCAACTCCCTACAGACTAGGAGCCACCAGGCTCCATGCTAAGTGCCACAGGAGAAGCCAAAGCCACAAGGAGGGACTCTTCAGAGAGGCCAGCCCAGGTGACTGAAAGAAGAGAAATAGCTGCCCCATCCCCTAACCTGGGAAGAAGTCTGCCTGTAAAGGACAGAGTTTAAGATCCAAAGAAGCCAAGGGCCAATTTGCATAGGCAAACAGCTTCTTCCTCTTCTTTCCTTCAGTCTTCCAGTGACTTCCTGAGCCTGTGGGTGAGAGGTGGCCATTGACAGGGTGGGGCAGAATGGCATGAAATGGCCTTGAACTGTGGCGGCTGCTTCCTGGCAAAGTGCAGCAGGCCCCAGAGGCTGCACCTACAGCCATGCATCCTTGTCCATCGGACCTCAGGCTCAGCTCATGTGAGAGAATTCGTGGGGGCTTCGCAAAGGCTGAGGCCTATCAGAAGCCTCCCTTTTCCGTCAACAACTGATCTTATAGATACCAATTGTATCTAATCTATAGATACCAATGTGAGTGTATGACTCTAACTCACCAGTCCCACATGGCTTCTCAAATGCTTCCTGCAAGATCCCCAGCTGACCTGGGGGACTCACCTTTGTCTCTTTAGTTCAATTCAGACAGCTCAGGAATGAAAGTCTAAGGCTGTGCCTGGCACTGGGCACCGAGGGATAAATGCAACGTAGTCCCAAGCCCTCAGGGAACTCACTGACTCACTGGTATAAGCAAATAAGTCTAATACAGACTCCAGTAGACATCCATGCAAAACAAAAAGGAAGCAGCAATATGTTCCTGCTGTTAGAAGAGGGTATTGGGAAGGCAGAGGTGACAGCCTGAGCAAAGGTACGGAAATAGGGGTGTTTGGTGTCCCTGGGGCTGATGGCCCTAACTAGTGACACAACAAGCCCAGACACCTTGGAGCCCAAGATGAATGGCACCAAAAAGAGGCACCAGGACAGGGAAGAACCAGCCTAGCTGGAGCGAGACTGGGTGTACGCTGATCTGAGCTGACTCCCCTCCAGGGGAAAGGTTGAAGCCATTCACACAGAGGATGAAGGATTTGGACCCTGTCCCAGTTCTGTGTTCATTTTGTATCTTTTATAGAATTGGGCATCTGGAGAGTCAAAAATAGGCCTCTGCCCATTGGGACAGGAAAGCTTGGAAACCAAGGGATGCAGGGGAAGGGTCGAGAGAAGAGCTCAGAAGGAGGGAGCTGAGTCTGAGGGTCATCTGGGAAGGAGCAGGATATGAAAAGGGCTTGGTGGTCAGGGGAGTGAGGGTTAGGAAGTCTGGGAGTCACTTGCTCTACCCCTTCTTTCCCACTCCAGATTTTTACCTCATCCTGCTTTCTCCACAGCTCCTGCAGTCTGTGCTCTGAGAGGTGCTGGAAGCAGAGCCTGTGAGTGCTGTCTAGGACTCCAGAGCCCCCACCCCACTGCTGCCATGGTAGGAAAAGGTGCCAAAGGGATGCTGGTGAGTAGGGGGACCAGGCTGCAAGGAGGAAGGGGTCATAAGGATTCTTTCTGTGGGACCTTCTGCCAGCCATTTGCCCTGACAAGAAGGTCTAGGAGGCTCCATGGGGCCTGGATCTGGCACTGCTGGGGCTTCTGGGTTGCTCAAGCTGTTCCGTTTCCCTGGCAAGGCAGTCTCTCACCTAGCAGGTTAAATGGCGCTGCAGCTCCAAGCCCACATCAGGAGAGGGTCTGGCCCAGAGTTTACAGAGGCATCCCAGGAGGCAGGAGACACATTCCCCCATCCTTGACCCTGGAGATTCTCTGGAGAGAAGGACACAGTTTGTCTTGCAGGGAGGATAGGAGAATACCTGGTGCTGTCCTGTGCCCAGCACCCTACTTCTCCCAGCATGCCCAGCGCATCACCACAGTGTTCAACATGCCAGTCAAGGTTTTCTCCAGCCCCAGCTTGACTTTTTCTTTACTTTTGGGGGTCCTTTTCCCTTAGAACAAGTAACATTTGGATTTGACAAGAGACAAGGAACATTCTACTATGACTCTTTTCCTGAGTCTCCTTGGAAAATTTGCTTCTCCCACCTTCCCTAAGGCATGGTCTTCCTTTGTTCTCTGCTCAGAGCATGGGATGCTATAGAGAAGGGATGCTAGTGAGGCCCAGTGAGAAACATGAGCTCCTAACTCTGAAGAGGGCAAGGGAGAGCCTGGTGAGTGCTTGAAGGAGCAAGCCTCACTGATGGATGGATCAGGGTCCTCACAGGAAGCAGAACCAGGCCTTATCCCAGAAGGCAGTGGTTCTATTTCTTCCCTGGAGCGCTTACCTCAGGAACATGCTACATTAGATATCTGTGAGAGGAAAAACCAGGAATTGAGTGTAGCCTCTTCCACAACATCTCCCTCTCCACTGGCAATTTCTTCTCTTTCATTTAAAGTTTAATTGGCCTGAGCCTTCTGCTAAACCCTCCCCAAACAAGCCTTGTCTCACCTAAGATTTCCAGGATTTGAAGTCCCCAGATCAAGGAATAGTTTGTAGGAGGGTGAAGGAGAGTTCTGTAGCAGGCTCTCAGCGTCCTCTCTCCAGCCCATTCTCAACTTTAGAGTTCAGCCCCTCACCCAAGCCCCCCGGCCTGTTCTGGTCTGGGCCTTGCCCTGTCCTCTCCTGCTTAGATGAACCTGAGTAGATAAAGCTTCCTAAAGAAGTCCTCAGCCAACCTGAACACCTGCAGGTCTTGTGAGAAAACCCAAAACAGGCCTTCCCAAGAGATGTTTTGGAATTGCCACAGGTGGCATGGGCCTGACCCTTCCCTTCCACAGTTATTTAAAAAAAAAAAAAAGAGTAACAAAATACTGTCGACTTGAGCCCGACTCCTAGCTGACCCTCCAGCAGGTTTTAAGAGGCTGTAAACCACAGAAGAGATTGCCCATATTTTTCCACTCAGAGCCTCTGGCAGATCTGGACTGCCTGAGAGGTGCTACGTTTGGGTTGGTAACCAACTCCCTACTGACTATACCACCAGAATTCTAGGCCCTGGGAAGCCTGAGAAGACCCCTGAGCACCCATTTTGCCCTCTAGAGGTCAGGAGAAGGCTGAGAGGGGACAAGGAAAGCCGGTAGGAGAGGCATAGGGCCTATGGGAGCAGCATGGAGAGCAGGAGTCCCAACAGCCCTGCCTGCCTGAGCAACTCTGCCCCTGCGCTCCACAGGCCAGCCTGTCCGAGGACAGAAATGCTGCCTTGGGACTCCCGTTCCCAGCACCAGGATGTGCCTAAAGATAGCTGGAGCTTGGTTTCCTCTGTGTCCTCTGCCCTTTGGCTTCTGCCTGCCGCTTCTGAGCTTGCGGCTCATAGCATATGTCCCCTGGGCACTCCCCTTGGTTGCTCGGAGATTCTATTCCTGCCTCCTGCTCAGTTCTGCCGGTGACCTTGGGCTGCTCTATTCTTGGGCCTTGGTGTGGAGCTGAAGGTTCAGGCCTGGTCTCTAGCTGCCGCTTCTGAGGTGCCCTGGGCAGCCTCTGCCCAGCCCTGTGGGCAACTAAGCAGACACGATATTGGGTAGTTGTGTGTTTTCTTAAGGGTAATGGCTAGAGAGGCTCTTTTCAGTTGGTTTCCTTTCTGGATGCCGTGGGAGGTAAAGAAGAGAGGATATTGAGGGTCATGCCTATAGGACAAGAGCACCTGGACCTCCCTGTGTCTCCGTGTCTCTGTTACCCTGTTTGAGCCCAGTATGTAGAGTATGTAGAGAGGAGGCCCCTGGGTTCTCACCATGGGGTCCTTGCTTCCATTCCTTTGGCCCAGGTTTGCGTGTGATTATGCGGGCCTCTCAGGTCTCTTTCATGTTGACACTGTGTCCAGCTTCCAGAACAGGTGCCCCGTGGAGGAGCAGATCACTTCCCAGCACGTGCCCAGGCCCACATGCTGGCTGCACGTGCTCCCTCCCCCCACTCACAGCCCAGATGGTCTCTGCCAGGCCAGCTCAACTGCCTTCCTCACGCCTCAGCAGCTCCTAGGACAGGGCCATGCGAGAACCCAGCTGGCCAGGGTGCCTCCGAGCTTATGGGAGCAGCTGGGATGCTTGGGGGCACCAGGGGCGGGGTGGAGCGCTGCTTCCTCAGAGACCCAGTGCTTATGTATATGTGTGGGGTACTGCTGCCTGGGTCTCAGAGGACAGGAAGCTGGAGGAGAGGGGGCCTGGGCAGAAGACACGAGACACCCACACCCACACAGGCTCTATTTTAATCCTATGGTCTTACAACAAAATTTAAATTCACAGACTTGCTGACTCAGTCCCCTCCCTGTGCCCATTCAGACTAACTCTTGGCCAGTCAAGGTGAGTCTTTGACTTTTTCCCATGTCCTGAGCACACTTGTTACTTCAGCCCCTGGTGAGTGCTTCAGCCTTGGGGTAAATATGAGCAGTCGCTCAGGCGAGGGTCCTAGGTGCTGGAACATCTGAGTCCACCATGGCTGCGTTGGCCTGCCCCTCCCTTCCTGCTCTGTAGTGCTTTGATGTGAGGCCTTGGACCCCACTGTCTGCAGCTCCCATCATAGGGCCTAGAGCACAGTAGGTGTTCACCTTGCCCAAGACTTGGCGTGTGGCCAGTGCTTAACTAGTACAGGCTTAGCACATATTGGGAGCTCCTCAAGCTTAGGGCTTAGCACACATGGGGCACTCCTGTGATCAAGTGATCCACTGGGCAGTCACCTAGCACAAGTCTTGACATGTGGCAAGTGCTGATCTAGTACAGACTGGGCACACATTGGGCCCTCCTACAGAATAGAGCTTGTCACACAGTGGGCACTCATGTCACACAGTGCCACACACACAATGAGGGCTCACCCCACCCAGGGCTTGGCATACATTGTGTCCTCACCTAGCATAGAATGTGGCATGCACAGGACACTCCCCTAGCGCAGGGCCTAGACTCTCACAGGGCTCACTCGGCACAGTGCCAGCACACGATGGGTGTTTGCTTAACACAGAGCCGGGCATACACTTGTGCTTTCTGAGCACTGGGCTCAGCACAAACAGGTGTTCTCTGAACACAGGTCCTGGCACACACTGGTGTCCTCTTCACACAAGCTGTGGCACAACGTTGGTGCTCCCCTAACATAGGCCCAATACACGGTGAGGGCTTTTCTCCTCAACTTTTAATTGTGATCTGAGTGAAAATTCCCAGAGCTGTCTGTCTACTCAGCATGTTTGCCCTTTGTTTTGGCTTCCTGATGCTCTAGTGCAGTTTTCAGAGTCTCTTCTTTTTTTTTTAATCCCCAGTTCATTCATTGTTGCACTTTTCTCCCCTCCCAACCCTCTCCCCTAGTACACTATCCTCTTGGAAAAGTAAAAGAAAAATTCTTTCATTGTTTTACAATCCCTCCCCGCCAGGTCCACTCCACTATGCAGCCTTCGCTCTGGACTCCTGTCATGACAAAAATACCTAATCACATATCCATTTAAACAGTGTTCTCCCTCATCTGTTTCAGTGCAGTATACATTATTGAACCCATCTTTCTCAGTCTCCCTCCAACCCCGAGGTCAGTCCTGTTTTACAACAGTGGCACCATGCATTCTTTGTCTTTTTTTGACTGAGATACTTCACTCAGCATAATGTCCTCCAGGGCCGCCCATTTTGAATAATATTGCATAAGTTCCTTGTTTTTCAATGCAGTGTAGTATTCCATTGTGTGAATATACCACAGCTTCTCTATCCATTCGTTTGTTGATGGGCACTTGGGTTGTTTCCAACTTCTTGCTATTGTGAACAAAGCCGCGATAAACATGGGTGTGCATATATCTGCTTGGGTGGCAGTTATGGTCTCTTTGGGGTATATTCCCAGTAGTAGAATTGTTGGGTCAAATGGTATCTCTATTTGCAACTTTTTTAGAAAGCACCATACCGCCTTCCACAGTGGTTGTACCATTTTACGCTCCGCTCCCACCAACGGTGAATAAGAGTTCTAATTTCTCCACAACCTCACCAGATTTGTTGCTTCCTGTTCTGTTAAATTTTGCTATTGTTACTGGGGTCAGATGATATCTCATAGTTGTTTTGATTTGCATCTCTCTTAGAGCTAGGGGTTTTGAACATTTCTTCATGTGCTTGTTTGCCATCTGACTGTCGTCTTTGGTGAAGTCTCTGTTCACATCCTGTGCCTATTTTTCTATTGAATTATTTACCTTTATCTTGTTGTGGTACTCAAGTATTTTATAAATTCTGGATATAAGTCCCTTATCTGATATGTCATTACCAAATACTTTTTCCCAGTCTGTGGCTTCCCTTTTTACCTTGTTGGAGAAGTTTTTGGTTGTGCATAGGGATTTGATTCTTAGAAGGTCCCCTTCATCTGTTTTATCTTCTCCTGGTTGTAGGCAGAGTCTCTTCTGACATCCATTTCAGGTTTTTTCTTTCTCTTCTGTCTTTGTAATGACCTTTTGCTCTCTTCATAAATTATATTCTTTGTACTATCCCAGAACTCATCCAGTCTTTGATAATTGGTGTTCAATGTCTCAA